AAACAACTAAACAGAAAATAACAAAGTGCTGGCAAAGATGTAGAGAAACTGGGATCCTGTACGTTGCTGGTAGGAATTTAAAATGATGTAGCCACTGTGGAAAACAGTTTCATGGGGCTTGAAAACTTTAAATGCGGAACTACCATACAACCCAACAATCCCACTACTAGGTATAGACCCAAAAGAATTAAAAACAAATACTTCAACAAGTACACAAAGCACATGTCCATTCGTGTTCACAGCAACGCTACTCATAATAGCCAAAAGCAGAGACAACCTAGTCATCTATCAACTGAATAGATACATAAAATATGTTATATCAATGCAACGAAACATGATCCAGACACAAAAAGGAATGAAGTACTGATACATGGACAAACCCTGCAAGAAGGAAACCTTAAAATTATGTTATGTTAAAGAATCTAGACACAAAAGGCCACATACAGTATGATCCCATGAATAGAAGATGTCTACAATAGGCAAATCCAGAGAGAGAGAGCAGACTAGTTATTGCAGAAGGCTGGGAAGAGGGGAGACTGCAGAATGACTGCTGAATGGGTATAGGATTTCTTTCTGGGGTGATGAAAGTTTCCCGGAACTAGATAGTTGTCATGGCTGCACAACCTTGTAAGTGTACTAAAAGTTACTAACTTGTACCCATTAGAGTGGTCAAAATAGTGAATTTTATGTTATATGAATTTTGCCTCAAAATTTCTCCAGTACTAAAAGAAAATATAGGTGGGGTCCCCGGCTGTCTTAGTTGGTAGAGCACGAGACTCTTGATCTTGAGGTTGTAAGTTCGAGCCCCACATTAAGTGTGGAGATGACTGAAAAAGAAAATCTTGAAAACATAAAATTTTTAAAAATTAAACACTAAAATGAAAATGAAAAGAAGAGGGGCGCCTGAGTGGCGCAGTCGGTTAAGCGTCCGACTTCAGCCAGGTCACGATCTCGCGGTCCGTGAGTTCGAGCCCCGCGTCAGGCTCTGGGCTGATGGCTCAGAGCCTGGAGCCTGTTTCCGATTCTGTGTCTCCCTCTCTCTCTGCCCCTCCCCCGTTCATGCTCTGTCTCTCTCTGTCCCAAAAATAAATAAATGTTGAAAAAAAAAATTTTTTTTTAGAAAATGAAAAGAAGAAAAGAATGGGGTGTCTGGGTGGCTCAGTCGGTTGAGCGTCCAACTCGGTTTTGGCTCGGATCATGATTTTGCAGTTTGATGAGTTTAAGCCCCGCATCAGGCTCTGCACTGGCAGTGAGGAGACTGCTTGGGATTCTGTCTCTGTCCCTCTCTCTTTGCCCCTTCTCCATTCACGCTGTCTCTGTCTCTCTCAAAATAAATAAACTTTAAAAAAAATAAAAGACAATATAGGTAAATTTATAATATTCACATGGAGGTCTTTGTAAGCATAACATAAGAGACAGAAATCATAAGGGAAATGAATACATAAAAACTGAAAATGCCAGGTGCCTGGGTGGCTCAGTTGGCTCAGCGTCTGACTTAGGCTCAGGTCATGATCTCACCATTCATGAGTTTGAGCCTCACATCGGGCTCTGTACTGACAGCGTGAACCCTGCTTGGGATTGTCTCTCTCTCCCTCTCTCCCTGCTCTTTCCCTGCTCATGCTCTATTCTCAAAATAAATAAAACTTTAAAAAAATTGAAAATGTCTGTTCAGGAAAAATAAGCACATAAAAAGATAAATGGCATGCTGAGAAAAAGTATTTCCAGCATATAATAGATGGTCTGTTACAGAACAGTAAGAAAAGGCAAATACCACTCTAATAGCAGATGGTTCAAGGAATTACAGAGGAAGTTCACAACGGATGAAACATAACTGGCCAGTAAATATACCAGAAGGTTCAATATATGCAAAATAAAACAACAAATTATTTTTTGCCCATCAGACAAGCAAAGATTAAAAAAAAATAATACCTAACATTAGTAAGAGGGCAGGGAAAAGGTATTCTCATGCATTGGAGGTAGGCATGTAGACGGGTACAGTCTTTCTGTAGGGCATTTTGACGATCTCATGAAGACTTACAAATATTTGAATATTTGAATAATATTTTCCAAGGTAGCTCTTAATCTTTTTTTGTATCTGGACTCCTTTGAGAATCTGATGATAAAGTAATAGACCCTTTCTTGAGAAAAATACACATACATGCCTATAATTTTAAGGGGTTCATGGATGCCCTCAAGTCCATTCATGGGGCACCGGGTTAAGAGTCTCTGACTTACTGTCTGGATTGGAAAAATAAAGTTATGAAATTAATTCAAATCATTTTGTAGATACAAATATGCTAGAAATGATTTATAGTGACCAACTAAGGGGCACCTGCGTGGCTAGTCGGTTAAGCATCCGACTTTGGCTCAGGTCATGATCTCACCGTTCGTGGGTTCAAGCCCCGCATCAGGCTCTGTGCTGACAGCTCAGAGCCTGAAGCCTGCTTGGGATTCTGTGTCTCCCTCTCTCTCTCTCTGACCCTCCCCCACTCGTGCTTTGTCTCTCTCTCTCTCTCTCTCTCTCTCTCTCTCTCTCTCTCTCAAAAATAAATAAACATTATAGTGGCCAACTAAAAGAATAATGATTTGTTTCTTGTTTCAGTAGCCTGTGGCAAGCATAATGTTTTTTTTAATTGTTCCGTTTGAGGGTAGGGATCTCAAGTCAAACAAACCTTTGATTCTAATGCAGAACACCCTCTACATGTTGACAGCTTCTCTCCAATTGGTCTGATCAGAAAATCTTGGGCAAATCGTGAATTCTTCAGGATAGCTGCTGTTTCTTCATCCACTTCAACAATTTCACCCTCCTGAAGGGTAGCAGAAAAAAAAACACATTTTTTTTTAACGTTTATTTATTTTTGAGACAGAGAGAGACAGAGCATGAACGGGGGAGGGTCCAAGAGAGAGAGAGACAAAGAACCTGAAACAGGCTCCAGGCTCTGAGCGGTCAGCACAGAGCCCGACGCGGTGCTCGGACTCACAGACTGTGAGATCGTGACCTGAGCCGAAGTCATACGCTCAACCGACTGAGCCACCCAGGCGCCCCAAAAAACGCATATTAAGATATGCCACTTTAATCTCAATAAAAGAAAAAATACGCAAACGTTTTACTAAGGAGTGGCCTTTTAGGATGAAATAC